CCAAATGGCACCAAAAGGGTCAAAATGTTCAATGACCAAAACTATGAGGTCCATTTCTCATTCAACCTATCACAGATGCAAAGGTGATGTATTGTAACCCTGAGTTCAGAATTGTCCTGAGTGTTTTGTGAACTGCCTTGGGTTGCTCCCTTTTTACCCATGTGTTTAGTTCTTGTTTTTCTAGGAGGGACAGTCTGCCTGTGATCCCAGAGTTTCCTGTGTGAACCTGTCCTGACAGAACACAGGCTTGGCATAAATATTGTGATTGGTTAAGGCCCAGCCAACCACTGTAGCTTCTTGCTTTGGTGATCTCAATAATAATAATATTATTTATGTGTATGTATGATGTTCATGGTGTGTGTGTGTGTGTGTGTGTGTGTGTGTGTGTGTGTGTGTCCACATACCACAGTGTGGTGATATTTTATTTGTGCTCTAATAAATAAAGCTTACTTGGGGATCAGAGGAAAAAGCCAGCCATTATATTAAACATAAAAGTCAGGCAATGGTAGCACATGCCTTTAATCCTAATATTTGGCAGGCAGAGATTCATCTGGATCTCTGTGAGTTCAAGGCCACACTGGGAATAAAGTTAGGCGTGGTGGCACATGCCTTTTAAATTAAACACTAGTTAACCACAAAGGTCTGGAGGTCTGTACAGAAAGACAGGAAGTGACAGAGCTGGGCAGAAAGAGGAAGTGATGTAGCTAGGCAGAGAGAGGAAGTGAAAAGGCAGGACAGAAAGGATATAGGCGTGAATACACAGGAAGTAGATCTCTCTTTGGCTGAGGATTTCTAGCAGTAAGAATATGGCTGGCTTCTTTCTGCTTCCCTGATCTCTCAGTTTTTACCCCAATATCTGGCTCTGGGTTTTTTCCTCTTATTAATAAGACCATTTAGCAATTCATCTTACACCACAGTATGCATATAGAGGTCAGAGGGCAACCTTAGGTTTCGGTCCTCGCCATCCACCTTGTTTGAGGCAGTGTCTCTTATTTTTTTTTATACTGTCCATGCTACTATGCTAGCTTTGGGGAGTTTTCCTGTCTCCACCACCCAATTTCCTGTAGGTGTGCTGAGATCACAGGTGCTTGTCCTGGCATCTGGCTTTATATGAGTTCTTGCAACCTGAAGTCCAGTCTTCAGCAGCAAGAGCTTTGTCCACTGAGTCTTCTTGTGCAGCAAGAGCTTTGTCCACTGAGTTGGCTCCCTGGTCAATGCAGTTTATGTTAATATGACAAACTGCTTTGAAATAAATTTAGAAGTTACTTGGACGAGATGAAGTTTATTTTTCTTACTGAAAACTTGTGCTTTGGAGGATGATGGTTTGAAGTGGGCAACAGACATCTTTGTCTTCCACTTAGGAGAATTAACAGTGGAGCTGAGACAGAGAAGAGCAGGGCAGTGGGGGTGCTGTCTTGGTTACTGTTCTATTGCTGTGAGGAGATATGACCAAGGTAACTTATAAAATGGAAGAAATTAGTTGGAAGCTTGCTTTCTGTTTCCGAGTGCAAATTCATGAGCATCACTGTGGAAGCATGGTGGCAGGCAGGCACGGTACTGGAGCAGTGGCTGAGAGCTCACATCTGATCTGTAAGTTACACACACACACACACACACACACACATAGGAGAGAGAGAAAGAGACAGAGAGAGAGACAGAGAGAGGAGACAGAAACAGAGAGAGAGACAAGACTTGGTCTGTCATGGTCTTTTGAAACATCAAAGCCCACTCCCAGTGGTGTACCTCTTCCAACAAGGCCACACCCCCTAATCTTTCCCAAACAGTTCCATTAACTGGGGACCAAGTTAATATGCACCTATTGGAGACTATTCTCATTCAAATCATCACAAATAGGATCTTGCACTTGGTAATATTGTCTGAGACCAAAATCATGTTTTGTATAAATGCAGAAGAAGGAAATTGCAATTTTTTGAAGCATGAGGTCATCCTACTGAAGCTCTTGAATTTTCAGTGGTGGACATATGAATGTAGACTGCAGGGAATTTCCCAGGTACAGCTTTTCCTAATGAAATTTGCTTAAATGGGGTGCTGACACTACTTGCTGACTATTATCAATACTTAAAGTGTTCTGTTTTGGTAGAGTGACTTGGACCCTTTCTTGTTTTATGCAATTCATCATTGCTAATGAGAAGAAATCTCTCTTTTTCACCATGTGCATTTTTTTCTAACAAACATGCTACGTGTTTTTAAAATTCTCAAGTGTTCCCCGCTTATTTTGTCAGCTCATTAGTAGACAAAATTTCATGTAACGTTCCTAATTATATAGGCAAAGGTGTTAGTTCTATGTTGATGAATCTTAACCTCTAGCTCCAGCTCCTAGGCTAGTGTTACAGTCTTCCTCTGATTCATGGGATGCTATGCAGAGTACCCTCCATATCTCCCAAGTTTCAACACCAACTACAGTTTACTATAAGCAATACAGTACTTACCTAACCCCAGGGCAAAGATTCAATGTGGCAATTGGCTGGATATTGATTACACTGAAGCCTAATTTTTAAAGAAAAATTAGTTGTAAGATATTGTGTTTTATTCCTTCAAAATGAGAACAGTTATTCTCATTAATCATTGCTTTTGGTTTGGAAAATGTAGCTGTGATATATACATGCCATTTGAAAGTTACTGGGAAATCAACTGCTTAGTCATTTGATCATTAATATACCTAGAAATCCCATGAGTTTAATTTAAGGATCTCTTCTGGTGAACTATTTTCCTGGATTTTAGATGTTTTGACTAAGGTCCCCATTACACTACTGATATTTCATAGCTGATTTACCTTGAGACTATAAACTCCATAGGAACAGAGGCTAAGTGTATCTTATTGACTGAAATACCCTCAAATCCAAGGCCAGAGCCTGAGAAATAATCAGAGCTCAGTAATTATGTTTTGGATGGTACTCCATGTCTTTTAAAAGATAGGAAAGAGCGACTGAAAAAGATGCTCAGAAGAGTTAGTGCTTCAAAGTTGTTGCTGTCTCCATGTAAACACACCATGCTGAAAGGGTATCTGATTTCCTTTGCTATTTGCTTTTGATACTTCACAGTCTCTGTTTTCTCTTTGGAATCAGAAGAAAGGGGGCTTATGATTGTGCTAGTAGCAAGTGTTTGGGGAGGCTTCAGAGAACTGCCAGAGAGGTACTCTTTTTTTAAAAAAATTATTTATTTGTTTATTTATTTATTTACTTTTAAAATTACACTCATGATATTAATCACATTTGTGGTATTCATAGATTACATTCGCAGTATTCATTCAATTATATATATATATATATTTAATTTTAAATGTCGAATGTCATTTCTTGAAGGGGGTAGGAGGTCTTAATTACAGGCTTACAGCTCAATGGGAGGACTCCGGAGGGCAGAAGTTTGCTACTGATGTTTTACAATCTTGCATCTAAGCTGTTAATGCCCATTATCCAGGATACACAGACAAGGAACTTCCCGTAGGGATTCAGGAAGATGTAACCTGGCAGGGAATGAGCATTGGGAGGATATCAAGGTCAAGGTCCACAAGCAAGGCAACAGTTACCCAAAACGGGGGCCAGAGCCCTGCAGGTCCCCCTTTTATTAAAAAATGAGCTTCTGACTTGGGTTGCATGGGACGTCAGCAGGTCACCTTACCCATCATGGAGACGCCTGCCCAGGCCACACAGGCGCTCTGTCTTAGGTTGGTGAGTGCCCCCGAGGCATTACCCATCTCTGAATACTCATTATCATACTGGCTCAATCGTGTGTGAGCTGCATGGTTAATTGCTGCCAAAGATCTCAAAGTGTCACTGGGCTTGTAATCTGTGTGTTCAATACAGAAAAGCCCAACAGAGGTCCTATCTCACCCATAGCTAGTAGGCTAAAGGCAACTGAGCCATTCCCTTCCTTATCGAGCCATACTGTACATTGGAGTCCTTGTAAGATAGTATCCCAAAAGCAACTGGAACTTGAGTTTATAAATTTATAATTTTCAAAGCCAATTGAGATGTATATAACTACTGAATTAAATTTATCATGCCCAATAGAATGAAAGATTAATTAACTGTAGTAGCTACTTTTGTTGCCAGGGTATCCACTGTGCTAGCTGTAGTAAGCAATTATAAAATGGTAATCCCAGAATCAGTAGCAGCGGTGTGTGCCATTGTTATAACAGCAACAGCAGCAGCAGCAATGTCAAATTCTCTTCTGGATTGTGTGGACATTCACTGGCAGGATACAACTCCAGGAACATGAACTGCCAAGGTCTGTTTTTCTTGATCCAAGCATGACTTTGGCTGGCAGCTCTTCTAGAGAATCCAATCTCATGGCTACAGTTCCTAAGCTTACATTAATGCTTGCCAAAGCTGGCCATATTGAGCTCTCAATCTCCATTGGCATCATAAGGGTAGATTTTTTTCATGATGACCCATTAGGTCTCTGTCATGTTGGGCTTCAGCAGCAGCCACAGGACGCGTTCAGTGCTCAGGAATCCAAAGAGGAACCTCATTGTCCTGAGGAAAGACATAAACCAAACTCTGGGGCCACACCAACACTAGATCGAGTCTCCTCCACGTGCTCGTAGAAAGATCCTTCCATAGCTCCAGAGGGTGATTTGCAAAAGGAGCCCTCCAGTGCTTATCTGTATTGGATCCTCCAGCAGAATGCACTGATAAACTCCAGCAGAATCCACTGCTAAAAAAATTTAAAATATATAAAACATGGGAAAGAATAGAATGTGGAGAAGAATGATGAGTCCCTAGTTCTCCTTTTTTTTTAACTTTAGTAAAATGTTTGTTTAATATTTCAAATTTTTCTATTTTTATTGTTTAAAATTAATTAATTAATTTATTTTTCTATTATCATCTTGATAGAGTATGTATTCTTATCTTAATAGTGAGATGTTTCATTGAGGCTTGCTCAGTAACTGAGTAAAATCAAAATTTATTATAAGCTACAGTCATCCTAGGGATCTCCATGCTATATATATAGCCTCCATGGTTCTATGGGTTGTGGTCTGATTGTTCTTTATTTTATATCTAGAATCCACTGATGAGTGAGTACATACCATGACTGTCTTTCTGGGTTCTCTTATAAGCAAATCCCCACTTCATTCTTGTTTCAGTACTCTGCCCTAATGAAAAGGGAAGAGAACTTAGGGCAGAGTGAATCAAGTTAAGTCATGAGCCTTCTGACTCACCCAAATGCAGTTTTTTTTTGTCTAAATTAAACATGGGGGTTGATATCACAGAAAGAATGGAGTAAAGTTGGGAGAGTTGGGTTACTATTTGAATGTGGGGATCAAAGCCAGTTGTGTTTGTGTCATTTATTACCTTCATCCAATCAGTTTGAAGCCTGGCAGAGATGAAAACTATCAGGTATCCATGTAACCATGGCTCACTCATACAGTTGCACATCCAAGCTGCCAGGTTTGAGAAAGCCATGTTTCTCTCAATTTTTAGGTAACACACCTGTCCAAGGCACAGTGATAAGAAGTTAGGTTAAAAAGGGGGAGAAAAGCTAGATTTGCTATTAATAATCAGAAAGCACAGTTTAGACCTATTCTGGATATTCAATGTTTGTGTCAACAAAAACTACACAAGTCACTCACCCTTCCTCAGTCTTCTATTTGTCTGTCATGATCAACTGCTCAGACCAGAGTCAGGCTGCTTGGGTTTGTGTCATGATGTCACTTGTTGCTGAAGCCATGTAACAGTAAAGTGTTGTTAGTTCTGCGTCTCAGCTCACAAACCTGTAAACGTTAATGACAGTTCAACTATCTTAGGTTATTGTGAAGATTAAATAAGACAGTAGATACAACAGACTTGAAGGTTAGTGTCTAGTACAGCCCAAGGACCCAACACATTTTTTTTCTTGTTAATCAAGGATTTTAATGACCACTTCATGCCACATAATTTGATGGCACCAAAAATGTGACAAGAAAATAATCTTATCTATGGAACTCCTTGTCTAATGAGATACAGTACCAAAGCCATAATAATAAGAAACCTGAAGGCGGGCAGTGGTGGCGCATGCCTTTAATCCCAGCACTTGGGAGGCAGAGGCAGGTGGATCTCTGTGAGTTCGAGGCCAGCCTGGTCTACCAAGTGAGTTCCAGGAAAGGCGCAAAGCTACACAAAGAAACCCTGTCTCGAAAACAACAACAACAACAACAACAAAAAAACAAAAAAAAAATGATTATCCAATATAAAAAAAACCTAGAGACCAAAGTGGGAGAAAAATTTCCATCAATGCTGAAGATGGAGCAATCACACTTGCCTAGTAGATTTCTAAAATATACATGTAGCATGAATCTTAATGGTACTTATTAATAAAATCAATCCTGAGGCCAGTTATTGGGGTGAACACTGGAAGATCAGAGAGACAGAACAAGCCACAGCTAACTCACCTGGCCAACTTCTCAGCTGATCTTGTTTCCTCAGACTGGAAGCTTCTTTGTCCTCATATCCGAATGGTTCTCAGCTGAACTGTGCTGCTTGAAAGCCTGAAGCTTAAACAGCCAAATGCTTCTAGTTTCTGGTCTTCACACCTTATATATCTTTCTGCTTTCTGCCTCACTCCCTGGGATTAAAGGCTTGCTTTCTGGGATTAAAGGCGTGAGTCACCATGCTTGGCTGTATACATGAACACATGGATTTCTGTCTCTGGAATGCCAGGATTAAAGGCATGTGCTACCACTGCCTATCCTCTATGTTTAATATTATGGCTGTTCTGTCTCTGACCCCAGATAAGTTTATTAGGGTGCACAATATTCTGGGAAACACAATACCACCTTATATACATGTATAATACACTGTTTTAAAGAAACTTCTAGCCATTAATACATTTTAATATTGATATTTTAGTTTCTTTTTAAAAGAAAAAGTCGTTTAATTGCTATGGAACTTAGATTTAACAGTTTTCTTAACCAAATTTAGCTGGAAATAGGATTGCTTCTCCATCAAAGAGGATTTATCTCAGGATAATACACACACACACACACACACACACACACACAGACATACACACATAGACACACAGACATGCACAGACACACAGAGACACATACACACACAGACACATACACAGAACACACAGACACACAGACAAAGACAGACAGACACCTTCTCCCCCACACACAAAGAGAGCAGGCATCCAAAGCAAAAGATCAGATGAGACTACATCTGACTAAGGCATTTGTACACAGAAAAGGCAGTAACCAACAAAATGAAATTAAAAGGAAATCCATAATAGACATTAAAAAAAAAAAAGAAAACCTGAAATAGCCAATGGGTACATGAAAATGTACTTGAGAACAGTAGTTATCGGGAAATGCAAATCAAAACCACAAAAGCAAAAAGTAAGATTATCACCTTACTTTTATTAGTGTGACTATTACAACAAGGCTTAAAAATAAGTTTTGTCAAGGATGTGGGAAAAGGAACCTTATCTGCTGTGGTTGGGGTGTAATTTAGTGCAGCCATTATGGAAAACAATATGGAAGATCATCAGAATATTCAAAGTAATATTACCATGTTATCTCACAATGCAACTACTGGGTACATCTCTTGGACTTGGATTCAGCCTGCTAAAAATACTTGTGTGTTCATATTCACAACACTAAGACAAAAACCAAATGAAGAGACAGAGCAAATGTGATGTGAGATGTGTGTGTCACGATTGTTCAGCTTTACAGAAGGAAGAGAGAAAGCCTGGTGGTTCAGACAAGGTGGGTAAACCTGTAAGTTACTTAAAGCAAGTGAAACAAGCCAGAGGCAGACAATTAATTACTGCAGTCCTCCCTAAAGTATGGAACTCCCAAAGTATAACTCACAGAAATAGAGACTGTAATGATGTGTTGCAGCCAGGAAAAGTGAGAAGATGTTGATTAAAATGTGCGTAAGTTCCGAAGAGCTAATATAGACCATGGTGACCACACTTAGTAACAGAGATTTGAAATTTGCAGAAAAAGGTTGATAGTAAATGTTTTCACCATGCACAAAGAAGTCTCCTCATGAGGGGTGTTAGATTAGATGTTTAATTATCCCACTCGTAGTAATGGCTTTACAGTGTATGTCTATAAATATCTCAAAGCATGTTATGAATATATATATGTATATATATATATATATATCACCACACACATATATATTTTCTCATACACATATGTATGTGTGAAAAAGCATATGCCAGAGGAGAAACATCTGAAAAAACACCAAAGTGTGGGGAAAGCTTGCTGAGGGTGGTAGAATGCTATATTAGAAAAACCACCCCATGTTTTTCAATAAAGGAAGAAATGAATAAAGGAGAATGATAGCAAGGGATGCCTGGGTTTTCAAATCTGAACTGGATTCCTGTTGGTGTTAATAAAAGCACCTTCTATATTTAAGGAATGGATACAGTTGGCGTTAAAAATGCATTATTTATACAAAACTTGCTATCCTTTCCATCCTTTCTCAGTGTTTTTCTCTTTATTTCTCCCTTCTTTTGGAGTCTCTCCTTGTATTCTCTTTCTTCTTATGCCAACCCCTCACCTACAGTTACCCCTCTCCCTAGAGTCTGTTAGGGACAGTGTATCCTCACCCAACCCACCTTTTCCAGGGCTGAAGAGTCCACTGAGTCTGGTGCTGGCAGGACGCAGAGTACAGCTTCCACCTTACTTCTCTAACCTGATTTATATATTAAGTTTTCTAAACAAGAATTCATTTGGAAAAATTGATGCTGGAATTCAAGAAAGGTTAGTATTATGACCTTGGGGTACTGATTCACACTCATTTCTCATTTTCTTTACCACTTCATGAATAGCAAAACAGATTTGAGTAAGGACCCTTTTCATATAAATTTATATTTGTATAATTTTTATTTTTCATCATTACTCCTTTGAACTATTTCTCTTTTGTATTGCTGCTGGCCAGTGGTGCTGGTTGATGTTCTTTCTTTGTGGGAATGGGCTGGGTAGCTGTTTTGTGATCTTTCTCCAAACCACACAGCTCTGAATAACACTTCTGAAGCTTCTTGTCAGCGGGCATTACTGACTCACATAATGAAGCCTTGTTACCCTTGACATATCATAGTAATAATGTGTGCATTGGGATGCTTCTCACATTCTGTGTGAAAGCAACATTCCATTGGCAGGCTTGCTCATGATCTCCTCTGCTGGGTATGAGGAAGGTCAACTTGTCTGCTTTAGAGAGGAAGTAGTCATAAGGAAGAGGAGGGAAAGATGATTCAGTGTTTATTAGAAGAGGTGATTCTACATTACTCCCTTTCTCACCAATGCCATGGGTTCTGACGGTTTTGAGTGGGAGGGAAAGGATCTGAACACTGATGGTTCATTCATGAGTAAGAAGGTGACTCTCACTCCTCTTTTAGTTATGCCAAATAGTTAAATCTAATATTAATGGACGTGAGACTGGGAGTGTAGATGGGAATGTGACACAGAATTTTTTAAAGTTGTTTGTTAATAAAAAAACATACAGTGCAAAAATAAGGTATATGTCTCTGCCATTCTGATGTTTCCTTGTTTCAAATTTAGAGATGTTATAATTGTGTGTGTGTGTGTGTGTGTGTGTGTGTGTGTGTGTGCGCGCGCACATGCGTGTTTTTAGGCTAGAAGAAAAACCTCGGTCAACCCATCTTTTTTTTTTTTTTTCACAGAGTCTCTTATTGGCCTGGAGCTTGCTAAGCAGGCTAGGCTGGCCAGTAAGGCTCAGAGATCTGCTTGACTTTACCTCCCCATCATTGGGCTTGCAAGCATGCCTTGATTCTTTTTATGTAAGTTCTAGGGATTTGAACTCAGGTCCCCATACTTGTGAAGGAAGTACTTAATTTCTTGAGATTTCTCTCTAGCACAGCCTAGAAGGTTTGTGAATTTTACACATGTGTTATTGCTTGACCTTTCCTTGTAGATCCAGTCCTCACAAATTGTTCCTTCTCTGAGTCACATCACATTTGTCCATACCACCCTCACCCTTATCACTAATTTACCAAATTTTCAATAGGCTTTGGTCTTCTCCTGGTTTTAAATATATTTATAAAAATGTCTATGACCTAAATATATTCTGCTATTGTCTCCAAGTTGTTTTGGATTACATATATGAAATCCAAATTCTTTTACATAGTAAAAGAATTCTGATTTTGTTGAACATGTGTAGATATCTGTAGTTGCTTAAGTATTTATTATTTCATATTAATGTCTGAGAATTTAGCTCAAGCAACAAACTCAAAATGCAGACCAGACTTAATGGATACAGAAGTTTGTTGGAGTAAAAATTAAAAGCAGAAAACCAGAAAGCACCCTGAGAACCAGGCAATGCTGTTCTCAGTCAACACAATGTCACAATACATTCAACAACATGCAATGAGTCCATGAAAGTGAAGACCATGAGGATCGTACAGTAACACAAACAAACCAGCATACAGTAGTACCTGCAAACTGTGATGGCAATTGGGCTAAAAATATGCTAGGGGAAAACTACTGGGAGGGAATATGCTAAGATCAAAAGTGATTGATTATGCAGCAAGAAAGTGCCTCCACTGTCTAGCTCCCTTCCTCATCTCTCATTTGCTGAAGGTCTTAATTTGCAAAAAGGGGCCAGAGGGATGCTAATTCTCCCTGTTAAAATTGCTGTATTACTCCTGTTTGCATGTGAGGAGACCTGAGTCTTACAGGGGTACAATAACTTGGCTAAAGTCATACATTCTGTATGGAGCAGAGCTGAATTTCAAAGGGGAGTTTATACACATTTTAATTAGGAAAATACTGGAACTGGAACTAATGACATGTCCTGGATTTGAATGTCAGTGTTCCCATGAGCCTTGATCACTGTACCAGTCTATAAAGTGATGGGAGCTGATCACCCACCTAGCCTCCTAGTGTTGAGAGTCTGTGGCATTTGAATCTATTTTCTATGGTATCTCTTTTACTGAAACAGTAGGGTCATTTCCAAGATTTGGATTAATGGTTTTCACTATAAGTTCTCATTTCTGACACTATGCATTTCAAATAGAAATTGCATATCTCACACAGAGGGAGTATTTTTTATCAATTGGTAATGTGTTTACTGTGCAGATAGGAGGTGAAAAGTGTCAGTGAAGTTCAGATCCCTTTGTATTTGTTTGTTTAAGTCAAGGAAAAGGAGCGTGTGAGAGGTGACGTGATTGATATGGAGCTTCAGAGTTCTGGCTGCTGCTTGAGTATAGCTCATCAATCCCAGAAAAGATTTTCCATTTAGCTAGGTGCAGAGCCTCATGGCAGACAGCTGCCTGCACAGCTGGGGCCCCAACCCTCACTCATCATGCAATATGCGCTAGAAATGGCTTTCAGCTGACAGTATTCATGCCCATCTGTTTTGATAATACTGTAGCCTCCTGAATACTGGTCAACTCCATGATCCTATTTCTCTTTCCCACCTCTTTTCTATACACAGAACTACAGCTAGGCAAGACTGAAGCCAGCGTATTGACCAGGTCTGTTCATTTTGCAGAATGAGAGCTACAGTTTAAAAGATGGCATCCTGTCCGGCATTCACACAGCTATGGAGAAAAATGGTTGATGTTTTAGAATTAAAACCTTTGCCCATATACTGCTGGACTTTTCTAACAATGACCCCAGTATTCCTCCTCAAATACTGTTGCTGTGTTAAAACACCACAGCCAAGCAAAATTATAAGGTCGAGTTTATTTTGCCTTACAGTTCCAGAGAGTTAGAGTATATAATGGCAGGGCACAGCATAGCATGAGCTGGCAGGCAGGCATGGTGTCAGGGACAGGAAGCTGAGAATTCATATCTTGAGCTACGAGTGTGAAGCAGAGAGTGAAGTGTAAAGAGGTAAGGCTTTCTAATCACAGATGCATATCCCTTGATAAGTACTTCCTCCAGCAAGGACTCACTTCCTAAATGTCCCTATACAGTACCACCAACTAGGGACCAAGTATTCAAATGCTCAAGACTGTGGAAGACATTTCTCATCTAAACCACCACAGCACCCTTGCTATAAATATCCTCTACCCATATGAAAATCACCTGTAGAATACAAATCGACTCCAGAAAATGTTTGGTGTCATCAAATGCTTTAAACATTTAGAAAAAGGCGATTTACTCACTGAATCAGACAAAGTGAGAGAGTCAATTTCTGAAAACTTATAGGATAAAATCTATATACCTTCACTATCCTCTCCTGTCCTCTCCCTCTTCCCTTTCCTCTCCTCCTTCCTATTACTCTCCCATTTTCCTTTTGTTAGATTTTTGAGAGAGGATCTCACTATGTAGCTCAGGCTGGATTCTTGTCTTCGTGTTCTAAATGCTGAGATTACAGGCATGTACTGATATGTATATCACGACCAGATCTCTTTCTTCATCCTTCATCTTTTTTTCTCTCATTCTGCCTTCCCTCCAGTCTTTTATAACCTCCACCTTTCTTCTTACTGCCTTGTTCTTTCTCTTCTCATTGTCCTCTTGTTCATATTAGATTTTCTTTGGGGTGGGAAAAAATCACACCTTTTCCTGTGGATTGTATTAAAAATGGATTCCACCTTGCAAATTGTCATGACTTTATGTGCTATGCCATTCAACATCACTCCAAAGCAACATAAGCCCCTGTATATCATCACTAAAACAATATGGAACCCTAGTATATTATTCCTGAATCAGCATTGAACCTCAATATATCATCCTCAAAGAAGAATGGAGCCTAATGTATCATTACTGCTTAATAGATTCACATTTGATGCTGTGTAATCAGTGCTTGTACTTCTGACACCTCATTGACTTTCCACAATAATTTTTGTTCAGGAATAGCTATCCCCAGTGGATAGGTAAAGAGGATATGTCTTAGAGAAGTTAAAATATAGCTTGTGGTAATGTTTGCAAGCATCACAGCTAAGCTGAGTTTCCAGCCTAGCCTCAGGTTTCTGTTTTAATATAGACTATGTAAATGTTACCTGGAGATCTTGTTAAAATCCTTATTGCTATTCACTGGGCCCAGAGTAGAGTTATCAATTTTGGAGTTCTCACAAGCATAGAGTCCTACCAGTAGGCTACGAATACCCTTTTAATCCAGCATGAAGGTTCTTACCTTGGAACCTAAAATCCTTGGGTGATAACTGGCTTTCACCAGATGTTGAACATTATGTTTTTGTTGACCACGTTGGTTAGAGCCATACCCCTACTTAAGGATTTATAGGAAATCCATGAGGCACAACCAAAGCATGACTTAATGTGATGTTTCATGATAACTGAAGGAAAAAAAAATTGGTTATTACTAAGGATTTCTGTAAATGGGTATAGGGAATGTGGGAATGAGAAAGATTGAGATGATCAGTTCATATCTGTCTTTGTTAAGGCACCTGAATTTAAATAAAAAGCTCCCAAAGTCCTTGTCTTAGATTCAGTTTCATCCACACCGACATTCCTGGAGGAGGAGTGGCTATTTGTTAAATGCCAAGGCTCCAGGAATGCCAGGCCTCCTCCTTTGACGAGATAAAACACAGACAGAATGCTGGAGGAAATGTCAGGGTCTTAGCATGTGGTACTGATTTTATAAACTAGAAGAAGGGAGAGAATATGATGTCCTACCAGGTTCTGAGAAGCTGACTTGTCCTGCTTGAACTAACACCATCATTAGGCATGAAACTAGAAGCCAGAATATGTCAACATAGGCTCGACTTGTGAAAGAACTTGGAGACTATTAGTTTCCTTGCCACCAGAGGACATTGTGACATTTTGGAGACAAAGCCTACAATAAAGAGAGCACAGAACCCTATGAATGCTTTTAGAGGAAGGGAAATTATTTTGAGATTTCTTCTATTTTTAAACTATATTTACAGAGGCCATGTGGGTATGTAAGAATAGGCAATGATTTTGAGATTGATATTTCCTTGGTAATCAAAAGATGAGTCAGGCTGGATTCCTGCATCCTGTTGGCCAGGCCTTTGAAGGCAGAGCTCTTTGAAGACTCATTCTAAGTTAACAGCTTTTTTTTTTTCTCTATGAATACGAATTCTTACTGACCTATAGAAGTTAGTGTGGGCATGGCAGTAGACATTTTCCATCATTGTTAGGAATATGGTGTTTTCTATTTAATTTACACAATGAGAAAAGCACTGTAAGATGAAAAGAAATTAACCAGATGGTTATTTTGATCTATCAATCCTGAGCATGCAGAGCATGTGAGTGAGCTCGGGAGGAAGGACTTGAGGGAGGTTATAGTTATCCAGCATGGTCATCTTGCCCTAGCTCTGCTTGCTCTTCTACCACCCTACCTTCTATCCCTACTGAAATATTCCCTCTCTTTTGAGGCTACAGTGAGGTCTCAATGTATTTGGGGCTATCATGTTTTGTAAAGCTCTGAGGCCTCAATGCCTTTGTTTATGCGGAAAGTTCCTCATAAAAAACCAAATTCCGTTTCATCAACTGTGATTCTCAGAGAGCCACCTTGGAAAAGTTTTTATTTATTTATTTATTTATTTATTTATTTATTTATTTATTTATTTATTTATTTATTTTTTAATACTTCTTATGAAGTTAAGCATACATTTACCCTATGACCTAGAAACTTATACTCTTAGATATTTATTTAAGATGAAAAAGCTATATATCCACAAAATACCTACCTATACATGGATATTTAAAGCAGCTTTGTTCATCATGGTTCAAATCTGGAAACAGCCTAAGTGTTCATTGTGTGATGAGTCCCTAAAGAAATAGTGGTTGTGGTGGTTGGAATGATAATGGCCCCCATAAACTCATAAAGAGTGTCACTATTGGTAGGTATGCCCTCATTGAAGTAGGTGTGTTCTTGTTGGAGGAAGTATGTCACTGGGTGGGCTTTTAGGTTACAGATGCTTGAGCTAGACCCAGTGTCTCTCTTCCTGCTGCCTGACATCAGGATGTAGAACTCTCAGCTACTTCTAGAGCACCATGTCTGCCTGTGTGCTGCAATGCTTCCCACCATGATGATAATGGACTAATCCTCTAAACTGTAAGCAAGCCACAATTAAATGTTTTTCTTTATAAGAGTTGCCATGGTCATGGTGTTTCTTCACAGCAGAAGAAACCCTAACTAAGGCAGTGGTGCATCCATGTCATGGGATGTTGCTTAGCAGTAAGAAAGTATAAATGCCCAACATCTGCAACAAACTCAAAAGGATCATTATATGGAGTGACAGGAAGGAGACACAAAAGACTATGCATATTATATAATTTATTTATATGACCTGGAAAAAGCATAACTTCAGATACAGGACAACTAGTAATTAACATTAAGTAGTTCAGTGGGATGGTACAGGCAGCAGAATCACACTAAGAAGCACTCTGAGGTGATCAAACTATTTTAGATTTTGTATTGTTAAATGGATTCATGTCTTTTTCTCAAGCTTATTAACCAGTGCATTTACAAAGGATGCATCCCTCAATAAACCTGTTTTAAAAAGAAGCCTGGTAGCCATTCAGTCTGAGGATTCATAGAGACAGGATCACTCCTTTTCTGCTTGAGAATACGGCAGTAGTGACGTGTGGAGACAGAAGAAAACTGTCAAGGAACTCAGACCATTGAGTACTTGTTTTTTGAACCAACTTGAGGATTTTTCTGGTCAACATGAAACGCTCCTCTGGTCACGACAGAAGGGAGAGCCACAGTGCACACCACCGGAACTCCTCCCCAGAAGACAGAGGAAGGGACCAAGAAAAACACAGAGAAAGGAAAAGGTCCCGGAAATCCCCATCTCCTGGAAGAAGAAGCCCAGAACAAGCAGTCACCCAGAGTTCTACTCAGGAAGAATCTACCATGAAGAAGAGGAAGGATGAGCAGGATCCACTGCTTACTCGAACTGGGGGAGCGTATATTCCTCCTGCAAAGCTCAGAATGATGCAGGAACAAATTACAGATAAGAACAGCTTAGCGTACCAGAGGATGAGCTGGGAGGCCCTGAAGAAGTCAATTAATGGTCTTATCAACAAAGTCAACATTTCCAATATTAGTATTATTATCCAGGAGCTACTCCAGGAAAATATAGTCAGAGGGAGAGGACTGCTGGCCAGGTCCGTGTTGCAGGCACAGAGTGCTTCTCCAATCTTTACCCATGTATATGCAGCCTTGGTTGCCATCATCAATTCAAAATTCCCGCAAATTGGAGAATTAATTCTAAAGAGACTAATTCTCAATTTCCGAAAAGGATATCGAAGAAACGACAAGCCACTTTGCCTGACAGCTTCAAAATTTGTGGCACATCTTATAAATCAAAATGTGGCACATGAGGTTCTGTGCCTGGAGATGCTCACTTTGCTGCTGGAGAGACCAACAGATGACAGCGTCGAGGTAGCCATTGGCTTCCTCAAGGAGTGTGGACTCAAATTAACCCAGGTGTCACCAAGAGGAATCAATGCTATCTTTGAACGCCTGAGAAACATTCTGCACGAGTCTGAGATCGACAAAAGAGTGCAGTACATGATCGAAGTGATGTTCGCTGTACGGAAGGATGGATTCAAGGACCACCCTGTTATTCTAGACGGACTTGATTTAGTAGAAGAGGATGATCAATTTACCCATATGCTCCCCTTGGAGGATGACTACAATCCAGAAGATGTTCTCA